TGAAGGGGAAGGCTTAGTATTATACATTGAAGATGCTTCAGCAAAATCTTGAGACTCCTTAAAAAATCCCTAGAGGAAATGGTGTCAGTTGCAGAATAATATTCTTATATGAGAGCCTTACACCTAAATTTCTACAAAGTGTTTTTTCTAGGAAACAGCATTTTGTTTTCCTCTCAGTGATTTTAACACATTCCCATACCCCATGGGTTATCACTTCTGTTGGCTACAAAAGATGGTGACCAGGAATAGATGTAGGATATTTTGTCTCAAGTGTTTAGTCTCTGTAAGAAGGACATGAGGTAACATAAATATAATTTTTGAGTCAGATTTCATGCTTTACATGCTGAAGACACCTTTTTTGAATGTTCTTACACCTGAACACATTATTAGGGAAGCATATTGTCCTGGTTTCAGATGGGTTAGAGTGAATTTTTGTCCTAGTAGCTGGTACAGTGCTGTGGTTTGGATTTAGTATGAGAATAAGTTTATAATAAACTGATGTTTTCAGTTGTCCCTTAGTATTATCCTAAATTTAGGACTTTTCAGCTTCTCGTACCCTGCCATTGAGTGGACTGGAGGGGCATCAGAAGCTGGGAGGGAGCACAGCTGACAGCTGACCCAACCTGGCCCAAGGGATATTCCATACCATATGATGTCAGCTCAGTATATTCTTCATTTTCTGTCCTATTAAACTCTCTTTATCTCAACTTACGAGTTTTCTTGCTTTTACTGTTTCTATTTTCTCCCCCATCCAGCCACAGTGGGGGAGTGAGTGAGCAGCTGTGTGGTTCTTAGTTGCTGACTTACGGTTAAACTACGACACATGTACACTCACTGTATATACCCTCGCAGACAGACACTTTCATACCAGCAATCTACTGGTGAGTGGAAAAAGTTTTGTAGACACATAAAGACAGAATGAAGCATGAAAAAATACTAACTGTACTATAAACAGAAAATAGTCTTCTCGGATGACATCGCTCACTTTCAGTCTGAAGAGTGCAGCTCCATGTCCTAGGGCTTTCACAAGCAGTTGTGCTTTGAGCAGTTGCTCTGATGTTCTTCTGCATCAAAACAGTTTCCCCAGGAAGCAACAATGACAGTGAAACTAGCAGTGACTTTGTAGCCTCTAATCTCATCATGACAAGAGGTTCCTATGAAAATACATTTGCAGTGCTCCTAATATTTCATTTCTTTCAGACTCTCTTTTCAAAATGGTGAAGAGATTAGGAGGAAAGTCTTTATCGTATTGACGTTTGTGGCAAAATTTCCATTTGGCTAAGATTTCAGGCAACTTACTCTAGATGAATATTTATTGCCTACCAACTGCCCTGCCTAGTCTCACCATTAATCACCATCAAGTTTCTTGCATCTGTATACAGATATTTTAGCCATTACTAATTACGTTAAGGTATGAGGAATGAGGCCAGCTCAGTGGAGCCACTTTAGATTGGCCTTTTGTGGAAGACTAAGGAAAAGCTTTCCACCTCTGGACATGATCCCTTAGTTTCCAGCCAAGCACAGTGTGTGAGTACAGTCATTTTCTCACGGCAGAAGGAATGAGCCTTACAAATATTTTCATGTCTTGTCTGGATACAATGTCTTGGAGCAAGCAAGCAGAAAGGGTTTCCTTCTCAGGAATCCAGAGAACCCATTTCTCAGAGCTCTTGAACAGTGTTGGCAGCATGTCACGGGCACTAAAGGATGTCTGCAGCAGCAGAACAGAGGCAGAAATCTCACCTCCCTATGGCAAAGAGTGACAATAAATGCTTCCTTTGGGAGAGAGGAGATTTGTGGTGTATGATGTCACTGACTCCATGGAGGTACACAACTGTTTATTTAACAAAGTCGCTTGATTATATACTTTAAGCTTACAAGGGTGTTATGACATGGCCATGTTAAAAAGGACATGGAACGGTTGGAACAAGTCCGGAGGAGGGCCGCGAGGATGATCAGGGGACTGGAGCACCTCCCATATGAAGATAGGCTGAGAAAGTTGGGGCTGTTCAGCCTGGAGAAGAGAAGGGTGATTGAAGACCTCATAGCAGCCTTCCAGTATCTGAAGGGGGCCTATAGGGATGCTGGGGATGGACTCTTCATTAGGAACTGTAGTGATAGGACAAGGGGTAATGGGTTAAAACTTAAACAGGGGAAGTTTAGATTGGATATAAGGAAGAAGTTCTTTACTGTGAGGGTGGGGAGGCACTGTAATGGGTTGCTCAGGGAAGCTGTGAATGCTCCATCCCTGGTGGTTTTCAAGGCCAGGTTGGACAGAGCCTTGGGTGACATGGTTTAGTGTGAGGTGTTCCTGCCCATGGCAGGGCGGTTGGAACTAGATGATCTTAAGGTCCTTTCCAACCCTAACTATTCTATGATTCTGTAACAATTAACCAATAAAAACCTGCTGCACGAATATTCCTCTACAGGTTACTCAATCACTGTTTTTCGTAACCATTTCCTTGTTATTGTTTCTAGCTGATATGTGCTTTAGATGTAGCAGTCTATGTTATTGCTTAAACAGTCATCCCTCTTACAGGCTATGTTTCTTTTTACTGCTATGTAGAGGTTAAGCACAAAATTTCTTTTGCTCCCAGAAACTCCTATTTGAAACAGTTTATGAGGAACAAACATTATTTTTCTCCTTGGTCTGCTTACACCAGCACTTTGCAGTTAGTCTCGCATATGCAGCTGCATTGTGTTCTTAAAGTGGTCCTCAACAGAGATTTAGCGAAAAGTCTGCCTCAAAGAAAGGACATTAATATAACGGAAATATTCAATTTGCATCTTCATATTTTAGCAAAAAAAAAAAAAAAGCTGAGATTTCTGCATTTTATTCTCTTCTAACTCAGTAATGTTACTGTAGATTTTATTCAGATATGGCTCTTACCAGGAAACAATAGGTAGTCAAAGTATGAAAGATCTATAAGGAGGCATTTCTAGGCTGGCAAGGAAAAAAAATGAAGTGTCTCTATCTTTTTGTGAGATATAGTTACTATTGTCTAAATTCTCAACTGATATTAGCTAAATTGGCTGTACATAAGGTGGCAGAATCACTTATATTCTCACTTGTGTTACATTTAATTCATTAAATATTTCATTCTTTTGCATTTTTATTGCTTTATCTAGAGATTGCTGCAAAGAAGGATATGCACAATTTGCAGTGCTTCAGCACTCCTTTTTTCAGTGTTCAAAGCAGGCTTACTTAAAAATTTATGCTTGACTACCAAAATTAAATTAAGCTTCTTAAAGTGTTGTTGGATGTCTAATGTTTGTGGCTGACACCATAGATTTGTGTAACTTCAAAACCTATAGTAATGTATTCTCATCTCAGCATGCAATACAGAGTTGCTATCCTGTGCTGTACGAATTTATATCACTATAAAATTGCTATATTTTAAAAAATCCAGACCATCTTCGATTTTCACATTGAGGCACACTGCTTTCTCTGGAGTCAATTTCTTTCTTGGGTGGCATTTTAAAAATTACGTTATTATTGTTACTGCTTTGCATTTTGATTCGTGGCAATATTCTTCTGTAAAAAATAGCAGTGACTGAAACACTCTATGCATTTCAATACTTTTGCTAGGAGAAAAAGAAGTTTAAAGACGTACACATTGGACACACTCTACATGACTGGTGATGGGTCTAAAATGCCTGGATATTGCAATAATCATCCTATCTGAAGGCAGATCAGAAAACCTTGTTTCCTTCATCTGACAGGCAGAACATCAAGCTCACCATCTGCCGGGACAGAGGGTATTGCTCTGTTATCAAAACACTGCCTGGACATTGGTCTCTCTCAATATCTCTGATGTCTGACAAAGTGCTTTCACAATCCCTCTTGTTCTAACCATCCATAGTTATGTCAGCTAGAGTTTGCATTGAATGATAAAAGGTTCATCCCTCACTGAACCATGGAGAATAGAGGGAACCAGCATTACTGCTGAGATCTGCTTCTCCAGATAGGTGGTTCCCACCTAATAAATTCTCAAGTACTGTAGGGATCCAGGACACTGACAATATCTTTGATTTCATATTCCCTTTCTATGATACATTCAGCAGTAAGTCTTTGCATATTGCTGTATGTCTTCAGTCTCTGATGGGGGATATCTTATGCTTAGGAAGTGCTTTGTGATATGCAAGAGGTGTAGGGTCCTTTGTGTAATCATATTGAACTGTTCTGGGAGAGAGGATAGATAGCTGATCTTGTGTTTCACTTGATGATGTAATTCAGTAGTTACATAGTACCACTGAGAGCATTTTTTATGTATTCTGGCATATGTGGCTAGAAAATTACTTGTAAAGAGACTCAAAGCTTAATGCGAGTATGAAATTCATGCTGTCTGTATGCCATGTGATATATGGATCTGCAAGACACAGAAGGAAAACATTTTCCTGGTAGAAACAGAAAATCTCATGACTCCAGATTATGGTGGTAAATGGAACAAAGGCTGAGTTTCTTAGATTAAAGATTTAGTCGTTGCAGTGGACGAGGGCAAGATCAGGCAGAGTAAACAACTGGGATGGCACATGCTGATGTCATACAGCCAGTGTCAAACTACGTAACCAGAAAAGGAAGTTCACTGACCCAGTATTTCCCACAGCTGTAACAGGAGACACAAAGTTTATGATTCCTAATTAGGAATAAGTACAAAGAGAAATCATATTTAAACACTAAAATCCTGCTTAGGCACCTAATTCTGGTCTATTCCAGATACTTGAAATGCTAAGTGCTCATTTGCCATTGCAGCTTGAACTATGGTTGCCTTTATCCAGTTTATCCTTTGGAAAGAAAAATAAAGTTGCAAAGATCTTTTCTATTATGAAGTTAGCATCCACCTTTCCACGGTTTTATCCAGTGAAGGAATTTACTGACAATCGATAAATTTGAGGATCTGTGCTTTTGACAAAGAGCGTTCAGTATGTTCTCCTGAAAGTCAGTTTCTCCATGCTGAAGCTGTAAATGGTGCATTTAACATATTGCCTTTCCTGTTTTGCAGCACATGTCCTGAGGGATATATATGTCTGAAGGCTGGGGAAAATCCTGACCATGGTTACACAAGCTTTGATACTTTTGGCTGGGCCTTTCTCTCTTTGTTCCGTCTTATGACTCAAGATTATTGGGAGCGGCTTTATCAACAGGTATGACAATGTTTTTTTTACTCTTAAAAATATAAGATAAACACATCGGCTTGTTACAGTTATATATGCAATAGTTAAAGACAGGAAAGAATTGTTTATTACAGGTAAACTGTTCTCTGTGTGTTCTGGAGAAGGACCACAAATTGTTACAATTAATTTCTTTGGAGTGATGATGTGAGGTGACATTAGGCTGGGTGTTTGGGGAAAGGGGAGAAAATTGGTACCGAAAAGACCCTTTTAATGGGTAAGTCACCTGAATCTAAATGAAGTTTCGCATTTAAAAAAGATCACCACATAATGATTTTTTTGGTGGCTGTTGTACTAATCTTTTGAGTCCAGCTCAAAAAAGGACTAGAGAAACACCTGTGTGCTTGGCATATCTGTTTTTGCAAGGCATGGTAATGAACACAGTCAGCAAATGGCAAGACTACCTCATCCATGTCAGTTCTCCCTGCTGCAAGATTTTCAGCATGGACACCCAACAGCCAGAGGCACAAATGGAGTGAGAGTCAACTTAAGAGTCATGTGGGCAAGGTGGTGTGCTAGTAAATGCTCATTTTATCATGCATTTCCTGAAGTGCGTGTGAACTCTGAAGAGCTGCATATGATAGTTTCCTACTGAATTACATAGTCTATCCATGAAGCCACTGAAGATTTATTTCTGAATCTCAAAACTGCCAAAATCAAAACATGCTCCTAAGGAAATCAAGAGAGGTAGTGCTGGGAGATAATACTCTGAAGGCACTGAGGTAGATATCTTTGAAGGTATTGGGGATTTCAGCTTCACATGCAGCCAGTTATACAATTTCAGAAAAATATAAAACAATGAAATTGAAGATTCTTTAAACAACTATATTCATTTACTTGGCACAGAGCTGCATGTGCAGCTCTGAAAGACCGAAACCGTAATAGCAAATAAGTGTGATTACTCCCGTTTATTATTTGACCTTATAATATTACACAGGGGTTTCTATCACTAGCATCAGTCATTGACTATGGGACATATCTGTAATACAAGTTCAGCCTGTTACCCTAGACTCCAGTTATGCCTATAAACCTGGTGAAGAACCAGGTAATACAGGCAACAGCAGTCAAAGTTGGGTTCTTCTTAGGCTGAGGCAGATGCCTAAGTAGCAGATGAGGTTCAGATGAGTTGCATCCTAAAAGTATTTTTTTCTCCCCATTGACTGTAAAGGACCTAGATGGTGGACAACTAAAGGGATACAACTTGAATTCCACTTGGAAAGTTTCCATGCACTGGACAAAATAGATTGAGTTGTGTGTGGGAAGCTTTCACTGCAACTGATTGCAATATTATCTATTCTGAAAGAAAACCAGTAGAGATACTTTGTGAAGGAGGAAATAATTCTTCTTTAGAAATTAATTTTGCTGCAAGGCACATAATTTTTGACTAAGATATAAAAATGTATTGGTGAGATTATTTCCTAGTGTGTGGTTGTCATTTGTCATCAAAGGGATTCTGTTCAGGCTATTAACAATGGCTGAATTATATGATATTGTAAATGTAAGGTTTTGGGTTTTTTTTTTAAATAAGTTATAAAATCTTTTTTTCCTTGAAAAACCCCCAAAACAAGGACAAAAAAACAGGAAAAAAAAAAAAAAGCACCACATTTTAAACAAGTAATAGTGATTTTACTTCTGTGCTTGCAGACTCTCAGATCTGCTGGGAAGATCTACATGCTTTTTTTTATGCTCGTCATCTTTCTGGGCTCATTTTATCTGGTCAACCTAATTTTGGCTGTTGTGGCCATGGCATATGAAGAGCAGAACCAAGCCACTATTGCTGAAACAGAGGAGAAGGAAAGGAAGTTTCGGGAAGCCATGGAGATGTTAAAGAAAGAGCAGGAGGTCAGTAAACTATGTGACACGATTAGCCTTGGGTAACTTGAACAGGTGGTACCTTGAGATTCACATTTTCCCTATTTTACGTTTATGTGATAACCAAAGTAAGAGTTTGTTTCAAAGCAGCTTAATGTTTATTGTCCTGGACAGAGTTATTACAATCCTTGATAAAGGAAAGGCCCTTCCTGCTAGGACTGGGGCCATTTAGGGTTTACATATCCAGAGCTGTAGTGGTTTAACTGTACCGTATATGCCAGCAGAGGAATTCGTGTTGGTTGGCATGCAAGACATTTTGATGATTGTATAACTACATTTGTGTTTGAGCACAAACCAACTATTTTAGTAGCTCAGCCAGAGCCCCAGCTGAACCTTGTTCAACCACCACTTCAGCTCATGTTCATTTCCTCACTGTCTCATTCAAACTGCCATGAATATCCAACTGCCCAATAATAAAGATAAAGATGTAGGATAATCTGTTTGAAGCACATGCAACCTCATTCCTGAACAAGTAAACAGTCAGATCTTGACATTAACTTTGCAAATTATGCACAGGATATGGATTTAATGTTGTGCTGTAAGTTTAAACAAAACAGGGAGGCCAAATGGTGGATGTAGCCATATAGCCTTAATAACACTAGTTAATTTGCATGTGGTTTTTGTGGGGTAGAAAGCCTTTATTAAACAGCTGAACAGAACATTTTAGGTTCTGTGAACAAGAAGACAATAAGAAAATAAGTCTGAAATAACGCATAACACTGTAGTTCAGATAAATAAACCCTTAATGCACAATATAAACTAATACACATTATTTTCTTTTGGGTACATATGGCTTCAAGGCCTAATCCAAAGCCCATTTAAATCCTTGGATAGAAAACAGAAAATGCAATTCACTCTTGATAAAGTGCTAGCGGAGGCTTATACATCATTTAAGTCCTTTTAAAGATCCTCTTTGATGGTTTAAGTAATAGGTAAATGCAATTTAGTTTGTGTACAGGCACTTTGAACAGAGTAACTTTCTGCCATAACCTAAGGGAGCAAACTGAGCTCCAACTTGTACCTATTTTATACAATTTTTTGTGTGTTTTAACTCCAGCTGTGCTCTTCCTAATAACAGTCCCAGCTATAATTAAAGCTGTTTAAGAATTTCCTTTTGAAGGCTTTGATTTCAGTTAAGCCTGCATGTACACACAAAAAGGAACATTAAGCCCTGAAAATCGGAATGTGTCAAAATTAAATTTGCTCATGAAAACCTAAATTATTTCTATTTGTCTATATGCTTTATAACTTAGTCTTTCCTTCAGTCAACCATGTCTCATTTTTTCCCATGCCCTGTTCAGTACAAAGGGTGGACAAAAAGTGCATGACTCAAAGGTAGCTCTTCATTTTCTCATCATTTGTTCTGTAGCATTAGGTCAGCTTAAGCAGACTTCCTGATCCAGGCATTCAAAGTCTGCTTCAAAGAAAAAATGACTAACATCCTCAGACGTTGTTCAGTGCCTCTTGTCACTGCTCAGACTCTGTGTGCTTCAAAAATACTCTTTTGTATTTGTAATACTCCTGGAGAATTATCCTAATCTTATGGAAAGGAAACTTTGGAGCAGAGCAATTGGGGTCCATCATGTTCAGCAGTGAAGCCCAGTAATTCTGTGAATCAACTCCCAGTATCTCAGATTAGGCATCTGGAAGAAGAAGCTCAAAATAATGAATTGGGCGGCTGCACTGTGTAGCTTTCAGATGTCTTTCTCAGGGGTCTTGCCCTGGTCAGAGCTGCTTAGTTTTAATCTTGCTCTTCAAGCCTTTATCAAGATCTTGGTTTTGACTTTCCCACTGTACTGCCAAGTTATTGCTTCAAGTCCTATTCCCTGCATAATCCTCATTTCAGGGCTCACATGAACTGAGTTTTTCTCCCATCCTTCAGCCACCACCCATCCTTACCAGACATGTCTGGTCCCACATGCCTTTTTTGCCCCTGGGAGTTACTACAGTGGGTTATGGCTCCAGTGCTTGAGGGGCCAGACATGGTCCAGCCACAGGAACCAAACCAGAAAGGGTAGATGGGCAGGATGTGGGGATAGCCTCCATGCTCTGAGAAACAATTTAGTCCAATAGCTGGAAAACGCACGCAGGGCAGAAGCAATTGGACCTAAGAAATAGGCAAGAAAATGCTAAGAAACTGTAAATTGGCTTGTTTTGCAATAAGGGTACAACATGCTTGGTAGTACAACCTACAATATTTTCTATGTCAATAAAATGCAGTCAGAAAGGAAAGCCAAGACTTGTTAGAACATCTTTTACGTTGTGCAGTATAAAGAGAGCGCAAATATAATTGATAGGCCTGCTTGGGGACTATCAGTCAATTTACACAATTGGTCTAACACTTTCCTAAACCTGAACTTAACAACAGAAGACTTGGCTGAATCTTTATGAAGAGAAAGCACTTCAGCATAGCAATTAAATCAATTGACTCAGGAAAAAAAACCAACCCCAAACCGAACAGCCTGGACCAGTGTCTGAGTCCTCCTCCTCTCTGCTCTAAGCAGCTTGCTCATGAAAGATATTTCCCACAGGAATTAAGTTTTGTTGTGTTCTCAGCTTGATAGAGCTACCACTACTTCTTGAAATACATGATTGATTCTTTACACGGCTGTTAAGTGCCTTCACTTTCCTTGGACTGATGCCTGTGGGAGGAAGGGAGTATTTTGCTGTGGAGAGCTGATTGTCTGTTCGATTCTAGTGGCTTACAGACAATAGCACTGGGGATTTGTCCATTTTTCCTGTTCTTGGAAACCTGGAGAGGCCTTTCCCTACCCCCACTGTAATTCTCTTGCTTTATGTGTTTCGCCAGGGGGGTCTGCAAATGGTCATGTCTCCAGAACACTGATGTGGCTACCGCTGAGATTCCAGTACCTCCAAACCTAACCTTGTGCTTTGTTGTCAGAGCCCCCTTGTCCTCCTGCCTCCACCAGGGATGGAGACACAGTGCATAGTCATGGGCTGCAGCTTCTTCCCTGCACTTACTAATTCTTACTCCTGGCTCTTGATTTGTTTCCAAGGTTGTGGCGTTGTGCGCTCAGGCTTTTGTATTTGGCTTCTGCTGGGTTTCTGGCAGTTGGTCTGTAACCAGTCAGCTCCTGCAGCAATCCCAACAGGTTGCCAGCACAGCACCAAAGCACACAGCGAAGCAAAGTCTGCCTTATCACCAGTTAAGACGACAGTTTTCTCTTTACATCTCTGATCATAGCTGCCTGCACTGCTGGTTGGGATAAGTGTTTATTAAAGTGTCCCAGCTGAATTGCTTGGTGTTCCTAGCATCCCTTTGTGATAGGAGAGCAATCAGCTTGGCTTCCCTGCTGTCGAGCCCTCCTGGTTCAAGGGGTTGAAGGCCAGGGAGACCTTAATCTGAGATTTCCTAACTTGAGACTTTTTTGACTGGCGCCAGGAGTGTTACTCCAGAGGCATGTGTGCACACTGGCTATTCATCTTGTGAAATGTTGAGGGATCTTGTGTGTGAGCTCCATGTAAACCACATCTTTTTATGCAGCCATTCATAATGATCCATCGTAGGATCTTGGTCCAGGCCTGCATGTGTGGGTGTCTACTAAAAACATGTTGCGCTTATTGTTTATTATGGCTAGTTGTAGAGGTTAGAAACAGTTTAAGACAAATTCCAGCCATGTGAGACACTTTTATGGTTAATGGCTGCTTGACATTTTTAATTCACGTCCTGTACAACCTTAAAACTTAAAATGTAAAATAATTGCTGAGCAGAGTATTAGTTCTAATTGAGATCCTTAAATAACAAATTTTGCATCTTCTACTATTTTCTGGTTTAGGCACTAGCTGCTAAAGGAATTGATTCAATGTCACTTAGTTCATTGGAAATGTCACCTTTAGCATCCAAAAATGCAAAGGATAGAAGAAATAAACGAAAGAAAAAGAAATCTTTGGGGACAGAAGAGTATGGTGAAGACCAAAGGAATCCTAAGTGTGACTACGATGACGGTCAGAGGAGAATGGTAAGCCATGGTCTGAAACGTCACTTATTCCACACTGCATTTTTCTGAACAGGCCAGTTTCTGAATTAAAGCTGAAACTTTCAGCTGCAGAGAAGTATCAAATACTTAGTATCAGGTCTGACCTGCAGAGAGTATTAGAACAGTGGAAGGAAACATATTACCACTTTATTTTCAAAGTGAATTAAAAACGTGTATTAAACATTCTTAAAAATCTGTTTTGTTTAGATTTTTTGCCTTTTTTTTTTTTTGCTTCAAGATTACCCACAGTCTGATTTATTTACTTTAATTCCATTCATCTGATTATACCTATTCTATCCCTATTAAAGATAAAAAAATATTCTTAAAAGAAATCTGTAAAGCTTAAAAAGAGAAGAGAGGAGGAGAAAAGGAGAAAGCTTTTCTCCAAGGGCTTTTAAAATGCTACACAAAAATGTTATTAACATTTTTATATTCCTTTGCTAGTTGCCTTCAAGTCAAAACTTTGTGGCGTTTGTTTCTAATTTCTATTGCAGGGAAAAAAATAGAGTGAGACTGTTGTTAAACAGCATTTTATATAAATGTAACTGACATGCATGAATATGAATTTGCACATGCTATATATATCAGAAATAACTTCAGATAATTTGTCTTTGCTTAACTGAGGGCAGAGTTTAAATCAGTTTATTTTGGGTTTTTTTGAATAGCCATGTAATGGGCTAAGTCTTTTTATATTTTGTTGTCAGTGAATTTAGATATATTTGGCAACCGTAAAAAACTCACAGAAAACATGTAAGTGATGTAAGTAAATGTGACCAATTAAAGACTCCCCAGCTCTCAAAAATTGCACAGAGCTGGGTTTCTGTAAATGACATGCATTTGTAATCTAATAGTTTTTGTTGTTGTCTCATTGGTCGAGTGGGTGGCATTGCAAATTACACCTTTGTTAAAGCTAAAATTGCTCTTTAGTTTCATTCTGGATGGCTTTCCTGACACCACATACCAGAATGACCGTGGATTGGAACTGTGCATTGCCAGTTTGTTTCTAAGACTTCTTGTTTTCACTTTTTGCCCCTGGATGTCATATGCATGAGAAATACGGGAGACACATTTCAAAGCTTATAGTAAATCTTCTCTGCAAGGCTGCGTCTGGCATGGTTGGAGGGAGTATGGCTGAGTCATCATTCAGATGCTATCTGTGCATCTGGAAGTGTGTTGCCATCAGAAATCAGTCTCAATAACTGTGCCATGGAAACCCAGGCATGGGGCTTTGACCTGTTAAGATGTGGTAGCAATCCAAACGTGGTGTTTTTAGTTAGAAGGGGCCTGGATTTTGTACTCTTCCTTGTACCAGTGTCACAAAATAGCATCATTATGTAACTCAGTGGTGTAAGGTACAGTGCAAAATGAAATCAGGCTTCATTTGGTTTATCTGGCTTGTGGATGCTGTGGAGATCCAACCTCTCTTCATAAATGCTTTGCTCATGAGAAAGTTCTGAAGAAGCGGAAAATTCTACACTGGCAATAAAATCAAAAGTACGTTCTGCCTAAATGCTCTTATTCCAATAATTTCTTCTTCAGATACAAGGGAAGGGTATAGACTTGAACTCCTTATGTTTTTTCTGAACATCCTTTTTACTCTGCCAGGGTTTAGGTGTGTGCAGTCCTTGGCTACATCTTGCTGATGCTCTGTCAGAGATGCACTCTCACTAGCTGATGTCAGAGTGGATCGTCAAGGCTGATATTTGAGTGTGAGGGACACTGCTGTTTATTTAGGTTACCTATCCCTTGAAGCAGCTATGTGCATTTGGATAATCATTTTAGAAGCTAATAAACCATATTCCCTCTTCTTGCTCTTGTTTTATTTTCTTTTCCTTTATCACCTTCTTCCGTCGTATTCTGCTGCTTCTTCTTCCCTCTTCTTCTCATTTTCCCTGCAGTTCATTTCCTGCCCTATTTCTTTATCTCTTCTTCTCCTACTGCAACATTCCTTCCCTAGCTGTTATGAAGATGTGTGATAATGCAGTAAACTGGAGCTGGATCCCTTTCCATGCTCCTGTCTTCCACTCCTTGCGCTGCCTTCCCAGGTCCTTTGGCACTTATCAGATGGGAGGGGAGTTGAAGCTAAGGAAGTTATCGTGCTACGAGGTGAATGCCACCTTGACCCTTCCTATTTCAGAACATCTTTAACTGTCGATTGTTAGACAAATACCTAGTGGCTAGGAATTCAACATCTTAAGGTTGAGAAGGTTTAATAAGTGTAATTCTTTCTCTGACGCTCTTGATTTAAAATGGAACCTGCTGCTCTCCCCAGACCTTACCTCGCTCCTGAAAACATGTTGCAAAATGTTGTTTCTCTTTCCCCTTTTTCCTTTCTGGGGGCTTCTAGACTCTCCTTGGCATTAGTTATGGTCCCAATGCAAACTTGGTGAAGCGCAGAACCAGCCACGGAAGCATATTCAGTTTCCGACTCCGTGGCAGAGACACTGGCTCCGAAACAGATTTTGCCGATGATGAGATCAGCACTGCTGGGGAAAATGAAAGCCACCGGGGCTCTCTCTTAATTCCAAGATCTGGGAGGCGTCCAAGCATGCAGAGTCAAGTGAGCCATAGCTCTCACCCTGCTACTCCCAACTACACCCAGACGGGCAAAAGGAACAGCTCAGTGGATTGCAATGGTGTGGTTTCCCTGATAGGAGGAGGCATCGGGGCACTCAACCCAGACCCTGCTTCTCCTGCAGGGTTACTGCTCCCCCCAGTTATTATGGAAAAACGTGGGACAGGCGACCTGGTGAGTACTTTATAACTTTTGTATGTGATTCATGCTCTTATTTCCTTCTAAATGTTGTTGGAGTTTACTGTAATTTATTTACATGATATGCAGTCTGCAGTGAGAAACCCAGACCCATCATCCTTGGCTGGGTGGGAAGGCAACAGGCTCACTAACACAAGTAGCGTGTGTCTAGTGCCACATAAAAATGCTTCATGACTTCTGCTGAGACTTACTCTTCAGAGCTGGCTAGAGGCAAATACCTAAATACTGGGTTTGATATGATTTTCTTTTCTTGTAGGGACATTTTTAGGTTGGTTTCTTTGCACATTGTCCAGTGGCTAGAAAACGATGTTTTAAAAATGGTTCTGTGTGACTCTTACTATCTTGAGACTGCATTTTCTTCCATTGGTTGCTATATGTTTGCATCTAACTTTTACTCTTCTATATCACTACTCTTAGAGGATTGTTCTTAGTTTTTCTCAGAAGGGTTTAGTATCCAGTTCAAGTAACACCCAGGAGAGATGAGTAGATAATCAACAGACTTTAAGCCGTTTGCAGATTGCCAAAGTCTTTGTTGCAAAGCACCACTGCTGCAAAATACTTAATAAGGCTATAACTAAAACTATTAAAACTGATACCTTTAGGACCCAAGCGTGAATTCACTTGGAAAACCAGGATATGGTGTTTTGGAAATAGCTGCTACACAGGCAGGGAAATTTGGACAGGTTGTCAGTTTGATATAGTGGGAGTTTATCTCTTTAATATAGATAATCTACATTGGAACTCATTACTCTCAGTAGTCTTTAAAGCAACAGACGTCTAGTCACTATGGTCAGTGTGGGTAGGATTTATTTCATCTTAGAGATCAAAAATGGGTCAGAATAAATCTCTGACCCTGGAGGTGCCTCTTTCTGTTCCCTTTAACTACAAGAGGAGCCCAAGATGAGTAACTCTACATTGCACATGTCTTAAGTCAGGTGAGATTAAGCTCACTCAGAGTAACAAGGTGCCAAAACTGGGTTACATTGGTGTGGAAAAGAGCAAATGTGATTCTGACATGTATTAGGCTAGTTATTCCCTGAAGAGAAAGGTGAGTGAGATGGATCCCAGATGTGTTGTCAGATTATCAGTAAACTGAGAAGCAGCTTTTTTCCTTTAGAGCCAGGCAGCTTCTTCCCTCTCAAACTTTGGATTGAATTTTTTTCTCACCTACTAGGGCATTCCCTGTAGTCCTGCAAATAGACTGTCACACTGTACATGAGAGGAGGGCCCCGCTGTGCATGGGAAGCTAGTTGGTGTGAGAATTATCTGTTTTGTTGACAGTTTTGAGGCTGTTGCTGCTTTTTCAGATGTCCACACCTTTGTTCATTTAGGACTTTGGTACTCCTGTTTTTACGCTCTGCAGACAAGAAAGATCAGCCCTAAGAGCAGTTTCTAGACAGCTAAGTAACAGAAACACTGATTGTAGATAGTACGGTTTTACTGGACTTAGCTTGGTGCAAGGAAAAAAGATGAGTATTAAAAAAACTATGGAAGAAAGTTTATGTAAGAAAAAAGAATTCTGAACCAAAGTAGAAAGGCTTGAGCAGATGAGCAGTGGATGTCCTCCTTTTCTCTGTAAGGAAGGCAGCTCCGCAGGCTGCTGAGGCTCTCCCAGCTTTCAGAAAAAGCTTAACAAAATGTGAGAGCACTCAACCTTTCACAGGAAATATTGGTGTTTTACAGGGTTGGGTCCTGAGGTGACAGGGAGGCTTTGAGCTCTGCTGGCATTTCTTTTTGCTTGCCAGATTCCTGCCTTTTAAAAGAATGGATTCTGAAAATTGAATGGCCCTGGTGGGTGAGCTCACTTGGCAGTTCCCTGGTCATCTAGGAAATACCATCCAGGCGCTATAGTAACAGATGCTCATTCAGTGATGCAGTGTGAAGGATGATGCGTCTTCTGCAAAACAGGTTTGGTATCTAATCTATCCAGAAAATGTGAGCTGGAGTTAAAAGCTAATTGGCAAGAAGCCCGTTGCTGTACAGATGTATTTGCTGCAGGAATCATAAGCGCCACGCAAAAGCGTGCAGCCTCAGCTGTGGAGCACAGGGAGAAGGAAATAGAAAATCTAACACCTAAGTATGCTCAGCGACAAATCAACATGCTTCTGCGCTTTGTGTTTGATTATTTTCATGTTTTTCTTATTAAAACTTGAAGTTGTTTGTTCTTTGTTAGCAGCTCCAGTTTCTGTTAAGAGTCTCTTGATATGTTTATGGGAGGCAAAAGAAAGATGTTGCAGGGTGAAGCTGAAGCTACCTTATTAACCCCACTGGCCCTGCAGCTGTTATTTATATTGTACAAGTGTAAGGCCAAAGTGAAAAAGGACCCACTTGTGCTATCTGTTGTGTCTTCCCTGAATAAAAAAAATGAAGGACCAGCACATGAAAATGCATCTCTGCAAGAAAAAAGTATCATTAAGCTCTGACTTGCAGCTTCCTGAGTTTTAAGTGTGGCTTCAATCATGTGAACACAATGTCTGAGTTGATGGAGCTGGCAAAACAGATTTTACGGCATTAGGTTTTGAAGATGCTTTTTTTCCAGGTCCCTCTGTGATGCTCAGCAGTATCAGATGACTGTAACACAGATCTGTCTGATTGCTACTGAGGAGGGAGACCACTGAATTCTGATTTGGGGAAAGCTGGGAGGAGTGCTTCTGATTTTAAAAGGCGTAGTAAATATCAAATGAGACCCGACCATCTCTAGTTGTGAGGTTCCAGCCTGCAGCCCTTAAGCAGACCATAGTTTCAGCAGGTGATTTCAAGCAGGATCTCCTAAGGTTTCTCAGGGAAAGCACAAGAAGTCATTAGCTGTTTTTGTGAATTTTAGCCCGACCAGTTTTAGTAACATTCAGCCTGCAGATTTTAGCTCGGGCAGAGTAGCTGGGACCATGATGCCTTTGTGGGCATTGTAAGTGCTACTCCTTGTTCCAGCCAAGGTAGCAGCTGAGCTGACATGAAGGCACCTGTGCAGCTTGTGCCCTCTCCCAGGAGAGAGGTGGCTGCAGCACGTTATCCCACTGTTCAGGCTGGTGGCTCAAATGAGTAGCCTCCTGACACTTGGCTGCAGAAGAATGTATAAGCTAAAGAAGCCAGTTTCAAATACTCTTCAGGTGGCTTTGGCTGCTTGGCACAGGTGGATGTGAGCGTGTTTCCATGAGTGTGCTTGCACTTGCCATCTCTTCCCCCTAATCCCTAAATACAGCTAATAAACCAGGAGAGGTTTCAAATAATCTTAATGGATGGTGTTTCTACCATCTTGTCATCTGGGGTAGTTGGACCAGTCAGCAGGCTTGCTGGCCATGTGCAGCATATTCCATGCAGAATGGCATTCATCCATGCAGTCTTCTGCATAAAAGTGGTCCTGCCAAGTCATCACGGGCTTCAGCCCATGAGCAAGAGGAGGGACATCCTATCCTCTGCAGGGAACTGATGCATTTTTGCATACTTTGCTACACCCATTAATGTTTCCACATAAGAGCACCCACAAGGAGTGATGGCAGTATTTTAGGGAAGCTCCCCTTGGCAGCACAGAGGGTTACACTGCAGTGTTAAAGCTAGAAACCCCACCTAGGTCATATGAAGAGCAAAGCAGTGCAACCTGAAAATATGAACTGCAAGTGCTCTCCACAAAGGTGGCTTTGGGTCAGGCAGTCTTCACCTGGATGGGAAGAGGAGCAGGCACTCAAGCCCAAGGGGTGTAGGGAGCTTGTCCCAAGAAATCTCTCTATTTACCTAGTTATTATTCTTGATATCACTGATGTATCCTGCAGAGGACACAATCAGGGCTGGTCCTGTTCTTCCACCAGCTTTCTTCAAGTGATGCAGTTGGTGATTTCATCAGACTTAGACCAGTGTAATTAAATAAGACACAAGCACGACTATGGTGGCTATACTTAAAGTCCTAAATTATTTTTTGTGTTTTTTTTTTTTTTTTTTTACTTTGGCCTGAAACTCAGGGTTTTGAAAAATGATATATTTTCATGATTCTGATGATTTGGGGGCTGGGAGTTTGGGATTTTGCCTTTTTTAGAGGAAGTCTGTACATTATACAAGTAACTTCAGGACACACTACAACCTAAAATTTTTGCACATCTCTGTACTATTTATTTGTAGCTGTGTATTGCTCTGTTGTGTTTTAGTGTTTCGTAGTTAAGAGGTTAGAATAACATCTCTCTTCAAGTTATTGATCTGTTTGAACAGAATTGGATTAAGTTAATGAGCTGCTATCTGGCACTCAATTTATCCATGGGATCTGATGAAGGTGAGTAAGTTGTCACCTGTGGTTGTCAGGAATTTCTTGAGAGTTAAAAAATACACATGACAGCATCCCCTCTTGTCTCTTAAATCCAGCTGGAGCCCTTTCTGTAACTCTGGGTGGAAATAGCAAGGTTTTTAGTTATCCTGAGTTTCCTGTTATTTTTGAGATTGGAATTGGTGGAGAAGAGGATGCAGGATTGAGGAGGTGGTTGTTCACAAGGGGCAGCTGACTGTTAACTGGTGGTCCCTACTGCTTTGCTCTACCTGAGGCACCTGCTCGACACAGCTTCCTGTGAGCCCAGGAGCAAAGCGGGGCCACCTGTGACATGGCTTTGGGATGGGCAATGAAGCCGAGATTGGAGCTATCTGGTTTCTGCCTCTGCACATACAACTCTTCCTGAATTTCCTATTAGTTGCATGTCTGTTTTTTCTCTTAGGAAACAAATGCCGAGTATTGCTAGCTTGTCAGGAGTGAAAACCACTGTGGAGTGAGCCCTTAAGGAAGTCCAGGCTGCTTACTGAGGAGCTTAACTGAGGATTTAGAAGCTTGCCTTTAGATAAACTTTTATTGTCTTTTTTTATTAAAGACCCCCAAAACCAACAAACACACACAAACCAAACCAAAACCAAAAACCATAAAACCCCCACAAAACAAACAAAAAAACCCCAACAAAACCCAAAACTAAAACAAAACAAATGGATAAACAAAAAATAAGATCTTGTCACTAAGCAAAAACCTGTCTTGCTGACCACATTGCTTTGAGGTTATTTGTTCACCGTAATACTGCCCCAAGGTAAAATTTCTTTCTTTCCTCCCTTGCTTTGCCACAGGACTGGTGAAAAGGGAAAGTGTTAGCAGTTTCCTTGTTCAAACCAAATATCAACAAAATAAGGCATCCAAGAATCACCACCATTAAGTTATATGGACAAAAGCAAGCTAACCCTGTGCTGCTGACACAAAGAGCTGTCACTGTGGCTCTAGTTCCTGTTCATTTCAAGTTTTGCTTGAGCACATCCTGAGTGTAAATCATTTAGATTTGACACAAATATTGCAATTTGCTCCAGTTTGCAATGCATCTCTTTAAATAATCAAGCATCCACAAAATTAAATGGCTTCTTTTTAATGTTGTGTGCTATTATGGTCACTTTCAATCTCATTAAATATTTGTGCTAGTGCCTTACTGGGTCCATTGTTCATGATGTGGCCTGTCCACCTCTTTTTATGCTTGAAAAGATTTTTACTGTACAATGAAAATTAAACCTGTCCCAGTTCCCAAATGTGGTCTTTAAAATGCTGCCGTGTAAAAGCCCATCCTCACATAACAGTTTTGATATAGCTCAGAACTGTAGGCACTGAGAAGAAAGTAATTTTGCAGTGTTACGCATCCTCATTTACATGTAAATTACTGAATAGTATATTTGTCCCTATAGAATTTAGCTAATCCAAAGGAGAAACATTTCCAGTCAATCAGGGAGGAACACAAATAATCTCATCCTGCTGGAGGTGCCTCTGCTGAACTCCATTGTGATTTCTCATATGGACCCTAAGGACAATCCTTACATAACTGTGGGGACTGTTGTTATTTTTACTTAATTTCTGTAGAAATATAAGTACTCTGAAAAAATGTGCTTGTGTATATTCTCTCTGTAATGATGATAACCTTTATGCTGCCTTGTTTGCCCAGTTCCTGGAACAGCTCTCTATCTCAGAGTACAAAACCTGCTAGTTCATTGTGTGACTATTAGCTATCTCTGTTCTAAAATAAATAATAAAAAAAATCCTCTCACATATCTGTTCTTTACAAAGAGCAAAAGCTCATAAACTTTCCTGAGTAACTTCAAGAATTTTAAACAATTCACCTAGATGGAAATGTTCCTTCCTGGAAAAATACTTTTTAGCAAATGTCAGGCTGGCTATGCGATAGATTTACTGCTCTACTGGGAAAGGGACCGTGTCCTCCTGCAAAAGCATAGGAGTATGGAGTAGGTTTGCCAGAGGGGTGGTGAATGCCCCATCCCTGGAGACACTCAGGGCCAGGCTGGATGTGGTTCTGGGCAACCTGATCTAGTTGAAGATGTCCCTACTCATTGCAGGGGGTTGACCTAGATGAGCTTTGAAGATTCCTTCTGACCCAAGCTTTTCTATGATTCTATTTCTTCTACCCCAGCATTGCCAGACACTGTGTCTTGGCTCTGGTAACACACCTTTGCTGTGTGACTTGGAAAACTTGGCAATATTACATCAAAACTAGGGGAAAAGTCAGTTCCCTGCTATTTTTTATTTTTTATGAAGGGTATGCCAAACCTGTCTAACTTTTTATTTAGCCTGGTTTAGCTGAATCAAAAAATAAGAAGAATGGATCTTTGAATGTTTTTTCTTTGGCTTTCTACCTCTGTGAATTATCTTTGCACCTGTAAGTAAAAGGTGGCTTTCAGATAAAAGCCACCAACGCATAACTCCTGCAAAAAACATTTCTGCATGCATAAATAGGAATATAGTATCTTTCCTGACAGTCATAAAAGTGGTACTTCTGGAGGTGAGGTTGTCTAAACATATTCTACTGGTATGTCCTAAGGTTTGGGTCAGATGGGATGATGGTACAGGTTAAAAAGAGTTACACTATCCAGCCGAATTTGACATTTTCTTACAGTTCATTCTGTAGACAGAGGGATCTGGGAGATCTGGGGATTTATTTATCTGTTTTTCTTTTTCTTTGCCTTTTGCATTTTTAGTTTATATTACTTAAAATTTTGTCTCCGTTATGTATTTTATCTCCTTGTCTAGTTATTTCTTTTCAGTCCCATGTATTTGTTACCTACTCCAAACTGGTGCTAATGGTTATGCGATTTTGTAGATGCTTTCTTCATTAATAAAATATTTGTTGTTTCTTTATTTCTTATTGGATGTTTTTGAGGCAAAGGGAATCAAGAGAACTAATGCATCTGAAATACCATTCGGGTTTTCTCCAGCTCCTAAGCCAAGGTGTTTTCTTGTTATATTGTGCAGATGTGAGAGTCTTTTTGAATAGGTTCTGATTACAACTTTCTTTTTGAGATGACTGTGTCAGTAACTGAATGGACAATGAGCCAATTGTTTTAACAAAAGAGAACATTTTAGGAAAAAAAAAAAAGACATTTTGAAACATTACTGCTTTCCTGGCTTAGCTAATGGTTTTAAGTGCTTGCTTTAAAAGTCCTTACTCTTCTCTGGTCTTGCAATAATTGGTATTTTTAACTGCAGTACTTTGAAGTGACCTGCAAGCAGTATCCTGGCTATTATTTTCAGTGTCAACCAGTGGCCAAGCATCTTTGTCCTTTGTGACCATCTGACAAGGGGATGTCCCCTGCTCTGAAGGGGTCACACTCCAGAAAGACAGCTTGTAGAGCTTCAGTACTTTTTTCATGCTGTTCTCATGGAATTGCCTTTCTTGAAGAGCCTTTTTAGTAGAGAAATGGTGAAGAGAAGGGATCCTGAGTCCCTCTGGTGCATGTCACAGGCACAGACAACAGAGCTGTGGGGCTGCTGCTCATGGCATGTCTCGCTTGGCATCCTGGGCGCCGCTTGGGGTGGTTAGGGCCATTTCAGACTCAAGCAATGGGAAGATCCAGAAGATTGAATCTGGTTCCTGTAGCTCATTTGAATCCTGTAGCTCATTTTGACTATGGAGAAGCAAAAGCAGCTATTCTGACATCTGTATAAACCAGAGCTTATCATCTTTGTAGGGATTTCTTCTCCTTTCATATTTCCCTGCAGGAGCCATCAAGACCCATCTATTTACAGTGCATCTCCCTTGCTTACATAGTGTCTTGGCCTCGCAGCCTGTATGCTTGGAGGAGCATGAGAGAAGCTATTAAAACACTTATCTTGGGAGACCGAGTGTCTTGACCAGGAGGTCTGTGACAGAGAATGATGCTGAACTTGGCTTTCCCAGATCCTTACACCTCAACCACACTCTTTCCTTCTACCTGTGAGAGAGCTGGAGGAGTAAAGCAGGCAGAATTTGTCAATGTATGAAGTGAGAGCTTGTAAAAGTCTTAAGATCTTGCTCCTGTGAGCTGACAATATAAAGTATTTAATACAGCGCGTGTCTACATCTACAGTCTGACTTCAGAAACCCAAGCCTTAGAAAAGTAAAAAACTAATTTAAAATGAAACATTAAATAAAGACAGTTTGGGAGTTCTGTTTTTCTGGTATTTTCTTTCTTTTTTTTAATTAAAAAAAAAAAAAACCTAACACTTTTCCTTCTGAAACATGAGAACAAGAGGGTTTGGGTTATATTTTACTTTTCCTGAGAAAAAAGGAAGCTCAGATTCTCCACTAATTACAGAGCTTCAGAATCCGTGACACCAAAGATCACCAGAATGACAATATGTTCCTGAGATTTGGCAGTGTTTCAGAACAAGAAAAAACATGTGTTGAGGAGTCAGTTTTCTTGGTCTGATATCAGAGGCCTGTAATGGAGCTGTTACCCACGCCCCTTTTCCTCTTCTAGCAGTATAATTAAACAGTTAACACATTTCAGAATTAATGGAATAATTAATGTAATTAAGCAGGGCTTCTTTCACAAGCAGAGAGCATGGTAAAGCAGCTCTGCTGTTTCTTTGGGATCAGAAGTATCCTTTTATTTTCACCTGCATCTTTCACCTGTTAACATGAAGGTAAAGGGCAGGACAGTCTCCAAAATTGTTCAAAGAGCATTGTCAAAAGCAGCACACCAACAGCATGTGCTTAATTGGGAAACTGGTGAGCTTTGGACTTTTCAGATGGGAAAAAATAGTGCTGAGGCAATTTTGAAAATGCTACCCCATATCTATTTTGGTTTTACACTTCTGATCCAATGTGTTCATTTAAACAGACCTCTCCTTCGGACGAGGCAAGCAAGAAACAGCTTCTAATGCCCCACCGCCCATCAGTGGACCACTCGGATGAGCCCTTTCAGAGGCAGAGGGCAGTGAGTGCTGTCAGCATCATCACCAGTGCCCTGGAAGGTAAGATGTGTCTTTAGTTCCCAGACTCAAAGCCTCAGACTCAGTGTTGATTGGCAGGAACAAAGTGACACAAAGACCATGACATTAGACTCTTGTTTTGCAAGAAGGCATTATAAGCAATTACTGTAACCCTTATAACAGAGGCAGTGCTGTAACAGAAGGCAATAGAATCACTGTCGTACCCATGGACTTGTAAAAATCCTGACAAAATGCTGGCCAGATAATCAGTATTGGATCTGGTAAGATTTTTTGCCCCCATGGAATTTGATTTACGCAGGGCTAACCAAGATGAAGGGCAGTGGTGCACCAGACTGGATGACTGTACATACATTTGTATCTCATCTCTCTGGAGCTGGTGCAAAGGTTGGCATATGCAGTCACTAGCTGCATGCAGAATGTTTAAGTTGTGGGGGAGGATAGTCTCCTTCCTGCAGGGCAGCTAGTGGGCCACAAGTTTGGTGAGTGCTTGAATCCCACCATAAGTTTTAAGGATTCTCAAAGGACCCATTTGTCCATGCAAATATTTCTCAGCAAATGTTTATCTTGCTCATTAGGCTTCTTATTAGGTGCAGGAGGACTTCCCTTCGCTGTCTTTCCATACACCCAAACTTTGTGTTTCCCTTTCACAAATTTACTGATAACAAGACAACTTATAGCAAGACAACACATTTCTAAGTTCTTTACATGCAGCATGAAAGAGCTTTTTACAGTTCCTTATGTCTTCTGCATTATAAATTGGAACAAAATAGGAAGTTGCAACTATAGGAAAATGTCTGCCAAGAAAAGCGTGGAGCAAGGAAAATTCCAGGTCTTTCTGTAGCCTTATTCTTTGTGTTACTCATGAATAGAAAGGCAAGGCAAGACAGAGTGACTTACCTGGGAAATGCTTTACAGAAAGGGACTGGACATAGCTTTTTGGAGACAACCCAGTAGGAAGCCACAAAGCCCTCTTCTTCCTCAGCTTCTTACCTTCCCTGTGGTAGTATTGTGGCCAGAACATATATATGTTTATATCATTAAATAAATAAAATCTTGTATTCTTAATAGGTAAATAATCACTGAAATGTATTCCAGTATTTAGTGTAGTCTGCAAAGGTTTTATTTGTTTTCTTTGGGGTTTTAAGCAATTAGCTTTGTGATTGATTTGCTTCTTTGTAATGTGTGAAGAATGCCTAAAAAGCTCTGAGCTTCAGAACTTTTTATTCATTTAGTGGTACTTTCTATTACTGTTTATCACAGAAATAGAGACCATCAAGTCTGGGGTAACTCAAAGGTTGAACGTTTTTAGCTTCATATAGAAGAAAACAATCCTTATCAAAGATTTCCTAACCCCCAGTCTTTGATTGGTCATTGAAATTGAACACTTGTTAACAACAAGAGGAATATCAAATCAGAATAAAATGAATCACAGGCTTTAACTGTAGTAATAGCTGCATGATTTGTGCTGAACTATATGAAATCTCCACACCAGAAGTCCCTTCTCCTCTAGTTACACCTGGTGTCTGCTCTCAGCTCTTGAGTAGTCATTGTTTGCTTGTTTTCCCAGACATTGCAAAGCCTTGCAAACAAGGAAGGACCTAGGGGGGTTTATTCGTTGGTGGGTTTTTTGTGGGTTTTTTTTTGTTTTTCATTAAAAAAAAAAGATCAAAAATACCCCCAACACACACTTTGTTTTCTTCTGACCACTTTTCTTATAACGGTATAAAATAGCAGAAAAAAAGCCATGAAGTCTGATTTTACTTTTTGCAGATTTTTTGCAAAAACTATTATATCTGTTGTGTTTTCCAAAGATTGTCTGTGCTGAGAAAGGATGTGGTTTCTTAATTTATTTAAAATGCTTTGATGCCACATCAGTGCCGGAACAGGACAGTTGCATCTACCTCCTTCCCTTGCTGAGTTCCTGCAGTTTGGTTTGACTGTACAAACAGTTGGTTTTTAGCTGGATCAGTAAATAGAACCAGCTCACCCACAAGAAGCAGGAGCACAAAAGCTGGCAAAAGGACAGAGGAATAACATACGGCTGAGAGATGAAACTGCCCTCTTTAGTAGCAACCTGGACTTACAGGAGCTTCTCTCAAGTATGGAGCCCCAGGGAAAAGAGTCACTCATCTGTTGTGAAGGTCCCTAAATTAATAATAGTGGAGTAAGCAGGGTTGGTTAGAAGTGATTATGAGAAGTATGGATTTACCTGGGAAATTAGATCCTTCGGGAAGTGACTGACCTAAATTCCTTTCAGAGGTGGGTTTAAAAAAAAACAATGCAAAATTAAGATTTTGCATTGAAATTGATTGGGGTATTTTTCACATCTTTCACCCCCAATCATATGGGGTTCTCACGTCATTTTAGACACCTTTAAACCCTGATTGGAGGCTGGAAAAGACATAATCATTTCTCGGCAGTGATTTAGTTTCCTGGAGATCTCGGTACGGGGTACATGTTTGTACAAAATCTGTGCATGCGGGACATAATCTGATATTTTAAAAGCTTGCTAGAGGACACCTAATACTTCAGTTCTGTTGTCCAATGAAGAACAAATGCACAGAGAATGCATCCTGACTTGAGAGAGGAGGCTGTTTATAAACTGATTGAAATAACAGCCTTGGCTGAAGTTTTCCTCTTATCAGTGCAGGTTCTAATTATATAGACTAAGACTGTTATACAGCATTCCATACCTATAAAGGAATCAGAAAAGGAAAGCATTATGCTATTTCACTAATCATTATCATTCAGCCATTAACTGTCTTTTTTGGCTTTTCTTTTTCACTGTTTAATGCAAATTATACTTCTGAAGCTATTTCAGTTCTTTTGTGCTCAAGTAAAATGGACGTATGAAAGTTGTATTTTAGGTAATACTTTAAAAGCACCTCTGAAAAGCACATTGGAGCCTAGTAGCATTTTCAAACTGACTTATGAATTCCCCTGATTTTGTATGTGGGCCTTTTAGAGGAAATCAGACACTAAATGCCTGTTTAGACTGCACATCAAGAACAGAAACCTAAGGGATAACCAGCGGTACTCTAGCTCTCAAGTGATTAAATCAGCTCTAAATATTGGATTTAAGTTCTTTCAGCTCTTAACTGCTTTAAAAGGTATATTTAAGATACTCCTAAAATGTGGCACAGGAATGAAAAAAAAATTCCAATCTAATTTAAATGAAGATAGAGTATTCTTACCCATTTGAACTTGGAAAAATGGAAAACAGAGTGAAAATCTGAGCCTATATATAATGCGGACTTTACATATTTAGTGTGATTCTCCCTTTTTGCTTCTGACACTTTTAAAAGGTTATTACTTTCAGAATAAGTCACTGTCTGCTAAGTGCAGGTCAACTGGCAAAAACCCCAAAGTGTGTAATTTGCCAGCCTATTAGGACAGAAATATTTTTATCCTAAAAAAAGTTTGGGGTAATTCAGGGGCCTTCCTTTATGTTGTGAGTCATTTTAAGTGTTCTCTTGTCCTATAACTCAGTGTGAATTGACTGTTACTTTACTGCTTGTGTCTTAGAGCTTGAGGAATCACACCAGAAATGTCCTCCCTGCTGGAACCACTTTGCTGTTAAATTTCTCATTTGGGATTGTTGCCCGCTTTGGCTTTTAATCAAGAAATTTGTCAAGTTTGTGGTAATGGACCCATTTACCGACCTCACCATCACCCTTTGCATTGTGCTGAACACGCTTTTCATGGCCTTGGAGCATTATAAGATGACGAAGGAGTTTGACCACATGCTTTACATAGGCAATTTGGTAAGTGAAGATGAAGTGCTACCTGAGGAGTATATTGCCTGCTTGTTAAAGTTTTGGCTGCAGCTTGGGAAGACCCCATGTTGATATATTGTCAGCATCGCTTTGCCTATAACATGTCAAGTAAGTCCACAGTCACTTCTTCCTGAGGGTGAAGAAAAAAGAATGGAAGACAGTGGTCTGTATTGTGAAGCTAACATATTCTAATGTTGTTAGTAACCAATGAAGTCATGTTTCTGAGCTGTTCCTGATAAGTTTCAAGTTTGTATCTGTTTAAGGAAAAAAGAGAAGGCTTAATGAGATCTACTTGGGATTTCTGTTAAAGCAATGATAAGGCAGTTCTTGATGACTAATCATGAGTTTTAAGTTAAAACAAAACAAAACAACAAACCAAACAAACAAGAACCAAAGCCCAAAAAATCTACAAGAAAAGAAAACCAAACCCAAGGCAAGATAGATCCTGGAGAGAGAGACAGAATGCTCTTTGATCATAGGTAGATATGTATGTGGGAAGGCACCTATGCTACATTTTCTGTGTGTCCTGCTGTGCCTCCCTGCCTTAGCCATCAGCGTGTACTGGGTCCCATGCAAACCCCAGGGCAGAAGAGACATGGAGCAAAACATGGCTGATGCTTCAGGGGGAAATTCTGAACGTGCAGGCTGTCGCAGCCAGGGATAGAACTGCAAAGTAAGCAGAGACCGCACTTCTCCAAGGAGAAGCAGAGTGACAGATCTACAGCCAAGCTGCAGGGACAGCAGAAAAGCCTTTCCAGAGGCGATGCAGCACAGTTTGTTAACCCAGGGGGCCACTAAAATTCTGCAGTTACTACAAAACGGAAGCTTTTTCTTTAATCGTCTTTCTCAGGGTTTATGTTTAAACGTTACCATGATTTACTGCTTTAAAATCCTTTTAATTTTAGAAGAGTCTGTATTGGAAAAAGCACAGGCTATCTAGGTATGGAATGGTGCAATTGCCTCTAAAATCTAGTGGTAAAAACAGAGATAACCTGTAGGACCTTGTTATTCTTAGCTCTGGGCCTTCTTGGCCAGGTTGAGGCTCTTCTCCTAGGCTGTGAGACCAGTCTCCAGTATTTCAGCTGCTGTTTCTTGGCAAATCATTGTGTGTAAAATCTGTTTGGGTCTCTCTTGCCTCAGACCCATGTTCTTGCCCTCTGCGGAAAGCAGTAGGTAAGATAGCTCAGAAAGTCATCTCACAGGACTGCATCCAGCTCCATTGTGCAGCCAGCCTTCCTTGTTGTTGCTCAACAGTTTGTGGCCTTCTAAGATGACTTAAAAATACTCCTTCAGACCCGCTATCCATCAGAGCAGGTGGCAATGCTGCCATTTCCCCCTCTGGCAATTGGTAAATGTATCTGTTCCTTACTCTGCTTTTGGCAGACCAGCTTCTCTCTTTGCAGACCACGAGCAGTGAAACTCTAGCTCCTGGCATCCCTCCTACCAACATAGCTCTTGCAGACCTGCTGGGACTGAGCAGGGCTTGAGCAGGGTGTCAACAAGGAAATAGAAGCAATGAGCAGAGGTACGAATTGCAAACCAATTTTGCAAACAAACAACCCCCAAATTCTCACTGTGAGTTCCTCAGAGCTTCCTGGAGCTATTTCTCCTCTTTGTGCTAAAGTTGAAAATAAACAAAAAAGCCTGCTAATATTTTTTGTAGCAGGCTGATGGCATGGGCTTCCTTTCCCCTGAGATGCCAAGATGGGTCTGTGAGATGACAAACCACCCCAGCTCCCCATCACCAGCTTTAGTTAAACCCCCACATAACTGGATTGATTGTGAGTAGAGCAGGTCAGAGGAAGGTAACTCCATTTTGTGGAGGATTTTGCAAAGTCATTTGTAATGAAAATTGACTTTTTTTTTTTTTTTTTGCAATTTCCCATGAAAGAGAGTCCCGGCTCCAGGGCAGGCTGCCAGGTGATTGCATTCCCTAAACCACAGACTGCCAGACCCCTGCTCTGACCCCCTGCTGGCTGGCCATTGTCGTCCTATTGCATCTAACCCTCTTTGAATGATTACACTAGTATTAAATGGGGGGAAATATTAAAAAGGGAAATCTTTGTCATTTTTTCCTCAAAACAAATGAAAGAATGAAAGTAGGCAATGGATTTGCTTTCTCTGAGAACAGTTCTTTATCCACTGCCAGTCACTGGAGATCTCCTTCTCTGTCCATCTACTTCATGCAGCAGTTACTTTGAGGCTCCTTTAGAGCCTCACTTACAGGAATAAACATTTTCAAATGCGAACAGAAGGCCAGCCAAGCACGTGTACATGGTTCATCTACCTATGTGGTGCCACTACTTAAAAAATGGGTAGCTAGAACAAGATTTCCCTGATTTTTATTTCCTTTAGAAATAGATACCATTATGCGATATTTAAGCCTAAATAGCTGAAATGATAGATAAAAGATTTTTATTTTTTTTAAAGGCAAAGCTCTCCAAATCACCATTGTCATATTTAGCTCCAGTGGGATGTTAAGTTACTTGCTTTCTTTCCAGCCTTTATCACTTTAAGTATCCAGCCTCTTGTCCAAGTGTAGTCAGTGTGTACCAGGTGCCAGTGATTTGACAACTGCTGATGGAAATTCGTAGCTGGTACACGTACATGATTTCTGATGCCTTTAGGAAAGCTCAGACATTTTGCTATCTTACTGTGACATTTCCTTCTCAGAAGGCTATTGATTAAAATGATTCAGGCAAAGAAAGTGATCCTCCTGAGCCATTTCTCAGCAAGATGGTTGCGTAATGTATGCAGCTTGGTATTGTGGTTTTTAAGGCAGTCCCCTAGACACAATTTCATGGATATCCAGTTTTGTCTTGTTCCTCTGTCCTAAGGGAAATTGGAGCATTCTGGTGGGAAGCTTTGGTATCTCTGACCACCGTGACTTAGAAATTGTTGGCTAGCTAGAAGTATGAGACAGGTCATTGTGTTGGGCTCTTGGTAGGGTGTGGTGATGGGGTGTTGATACATCCCAAGGTACTGTTGCAGTTCAAGGTATTATTTTCTTGATGAAATTAAATTTTTATTTATTTATTTATGTTGCTTAATATCATAATTACATAACTTTAACTTTTCCCTTCTACATCTTACTAGGTTTCTCATCTCTGTTGCTCAGAGTTGATCAGTTTTGCTGGTATAATGCTGCAAATATTTAGCTTATTTGAACAAAAATGCTTCTCTTTGACTGTATGTTACTGATATGTGTGTTCTGGGTTCCCCCCCATGATTTTAACCAGCACAGTGTATTAATGTTGACTGTTTCATGTAAAACTGTGTGCTTTAATATATATGTACAATAGAGATATTTTCAGAAGCATAAAGCTCTGTGTAGCTTGTACTGGGACTTGGAATGAAAATGGAACTGTATATAAAGAACTTAGTGCCCACATTTAGTCATTTCATGTTGACTGTAGCCTTATGTTGTGCACTTAAAATGTTACTTAAGGAAGCATACGAAAGCACAAGATCTGATTCTCTGAGATACTTTGCCAGGAATGTGTTAAAACTGAATTTGCTGTCAGTAGTCTTCCCTTACCCCCCTTACCCCCCCCCACCCCCCACTTCCCCCTCCCATAGGTAATATTTATATGTTGCTTTACAAAAAAGTGTTCCAATTAGAAGTTCCACCATTTGACATTTGAACTGGGTCATAAATAAGCAACATGTTCCCAAGACACTGTCAAAAGAAAATTGCCATGAGTATTTGTAAAAAAATGTCTAGGACTCAAACTAGAGTTTCTAATCACCTATCAGCTATAACCTCAGAATGACTGGAGACTTATGTTGCCCTGATATTGGCAATAATAACAAAATGAAAAGGGATAATACAGCAGGAACGCTACAACCCCAATACACTTCAACACTCATGATCCATTTATTTGGGTTTCTCCACTGAAATGAATAGATTTAACCTCTATAAAAGGCACCTTTACACTTTCTTTTATTACCACTGGGATTGTTCAGATGGTTGAAGGAGATGGAAATGTATGTTTCAATCCAGAGCTTGAACTTGGATGTCATTGTAACTTTACAGCAGTCTCAAATATTACTGTGAAAAGATGAGACAAAATTGTAATAGTGGTAAAGAACCAGGTATGAAAAATAAAGTATTTGATTGCAAAATGTTTGGGGGATTCTTTTCTGCTGTGTTCACCTGTACCAGTGGAAAGTCTGCAAGCAAAGAGGTGTGCTTAAAAGGTTACTTTGACTTCATATTTTCTTTCTTTCAGGTCTTCACTGGGATTTTTACAGCAGAAATGATCTTCAAAGTAATTGCCCTTGACCCCTACTACTATTTTCAGCAGGGCTGGAATATTTTTGACAGCATAATTGTTATTCTAAGCCTGATGGAACTGGGTTTGTCCAGTATGGGAAACCTGTCTGTTTTACGCTCCTTTCGATTGGTAATGGTCTTATTCTGTTCTCACCCCTCTTCTTTTATGGTATATAAACTGACATGAATGCAGCATATTTTCTTAAAAATGCATCTGCCGATAAAGACTTTAATTGCTGCAAACTGGTGAACAGTACGTGGCAGTAATTATAGGCTGCGTGATAAATGGAATTGCTCCAGATTTACATCAGTGTAAATGAGAACATAATTTGATTCCTTCTAGCTGTGCCAGGTACTTGCAGAACACTTAAAATGTTTGAGTTCCAATTTGTAATAAAAATCTGCCATTTTATACCTGTACACCTGTTAGCATAGTCAGCAGATAATTGATAGCCCAAGGAATGCAAGAGCCAGTATGTTGTTTTAGAAGTTGTTATTCCTAAATTATGTTCTAAACATGCCACTGTTCTTTTAAATGTTGTCAAAAGAAGATGTCTTTGAATTATTCACGGGATGATTTTTTTTTCCTAGAACTGATCAGCATAACATAGCATCTGTCTTTCACGGGAACTCCTTAGCTGTCAGCTTCTTTGTTATGCACGGGATAGTGGTATTCTATTAATGAGAGACTGCTGGCATATTGGAACAGAAAAGTAGTTTCCTTGCCAGCCTGACATTTGTGTTGCACTTCATGTACCAGGATGTCCATGCTAATCATTCTGGCCATGATATGGCTTCACAACTTGGAAAGACCAGGAAAATGAGCCATTATGATTACATTTAGCAGAAGACTTTTTCCCAAAAAAATTCTCTGCACTGCTCAGAAATGCTAAATTTTCACTGCTTGTGTTACATCCTGAGAGTCTCCTGTTAGTTTTTGAGCAATCCTTCTTCAATGGGGCTGAAATTAACCTTTGATTGAAAACACAGCACAGGGCTAGGCACCATTTATGTCCCTAAAATAGGTCTTAAGTGGGACGTGGGTTGTGAATAGACTGCGTGATCCTCGGCACAGAGGTGATTTTCACCCTGGGAGCTAACAGCTAATAGCATCTGGCTGAGGCTTGCTCTGAAACACTAAGGAATTTCTTCTCTCTTTGTGGGATCAAACCCTAAAACCCCTTCCCTCAGATGACTGCCAGGCTGTTTAATTTGAGGAGAAAAAACAATGTAAAAGAAAATACTAAGACCTGAGTTTTCCTCCTTCCATCCTTTTTCCAATCATTATGATTTTGGGGGAGCGCGCCGCTAAAAGCAGGTCTATCTAACAAGGCAGAGCATAGCCCTGGAAAACTGAATCCTTATCGAAGAAGCCCAGCTGATATTTTATTGATAGGACTAGTGAGGTTAACAGGAAGTATGGTTAAAATCACCTTGTACCACACACACTGTGGTATTTAGCATCTTTCATGTTTTATGCACTTTAATAATTCATCAGCTGAAATGTCTGTTGCTTCTGTGAACTGACACTGTTGTTTATGTTTTGTTCACAGCTGCGAGTCTTCAAGTTGGCAAAATCCTGGCCGACCTTAAATACACTCATCAAAATCATTGGTAATTCAGTGGGTGCCCTCGGTAACCTCACTCTCGTGCTGGCAATCATCGTCTTTATTTTTGCTGTGGTAGGAATGCAGCTTTTTGGGAAAAGCTACATGGACAATGTGAAGAAGATAAGCACGACTGGCAATTTGCCACGGTGGCATATGAATGATTTTTTCCACTCGTTCCTCATCATCTTCCGAATTTTGTGTGGGGAGTGGATTGAGACCATGTGGGACTGCATGGAAGTAGCTGGGCAGCCGCTGTGCCTTCTTGTCTTCTTGTTGGTCATGGTGATAGGAAACCTGGTGGTGAGTTCTCAAGATTCTTTTTCTCCTTTTCCCAGTATGTGTGTGCAAATGTACCATTTTTTAATCCAGAAATAGCAAATCTAATATTGCTCCATGGCTTTAATTCTATGAACCAAGTTGTCGCCCTAAGAAACTTGTTCATATCCCAAATACAAAATTGCTAGCATTGCATTACTAATTAGGAATGAAGGCTTACTCATTTTTGCAGAAGAATAGATAATGTTTTACTAGGAGAAAGGCACATGGGCTAGTTATAATGATTTTATTTCTTAGGCCAATCATGGGGCTGAAGGGATTCCATACCTCTCTTCTACACAGGAGGGAATAGCATCTTAACTGTCACTACATTGGGAGATGTTTTTATTTCCCTTCATTTTTGGTCCAGAATACATGAACCTTATAGCTATCATCATGTCTTTGAGTGGAGTTTTTATGTCTTTAGCCTGCATGTTCTAGGAACCTACAGGTTGTTTTTACAGTCGTCACTTGCTTTTAATAGGCTGTCATATAAGCATGGCTTACATAAGCTCTTAACCTATTAAGACTGAATTGTATTTCCCTGTTGACATCTTAAGGAGCGCTTTGCTGGCTTGCATCATTGTGGAAATGTTTCGCTTGTTCAGCTTAACAGGGCGTCTTTGACATTGAGGCTCTAATGGACTTACTATTTGTGTAGAGAGTTTTTTAATAGTAGATACTGCTATAAAAAAAAAATTTGGGTTTTGCTACTGATTGCTTTTAGGGGTTGTTTTGCTTTGAATTACCCAAAGTTTTCATTCTCAGCTGCTTGAATATAGAAGTTCTTGAAAGGGCTTGTAGAAAAACCAGAGACTATTGTTTTGTTTACATTAATTTACATTTTAACAGTTAGTTTTGCACTGGCACAGGTTACCCAGAGAAGCTGTAGCTGCCCCATCCCTGGCAGTGTTCAAGGCCAGGTTGGATGGATTTTGGAGCAGCCTGGTCTAGTGGAAGGTGTCCCTGCCTGTGGCAGGGGGATGGAACTAGATCATCTCTGAGGTCCTTCCTTACCAAAATCATTCTATTATTCTATAATTCAATATGTTAATTAGCAGCTAGAGAGAAAATCATCTTATTCCTCTGGCATCACCAAGATTCTTGTCACATCTGCCAGTATTTATGGTAGTGTCTGTGGTCATTTTCCCAACTGCAAGGCTAAGCGATATGCAGCAGACCTCAACTACTAAAGTAAAGGCTGCAAACTGGTGTTGGAAGAGTTACAACCACTACAACTCTGTGGTACTTTTGGTGATTCAGTTTGCAGGTCTTGCCAAGTCTCACTAACATAAATTCAAAGGAATGGCAGAAGAAAAATCAGGAAAGTTAGTAAGTGCCCTGGGTAACTTCATGTTATAGAGCAGTCCAGCTATTGAAAGGAATTTTAGTGAATCTTATATCTTTGGTTTGTGTTTATACATTCTGCAAATGTCTTGGACCAATGCAGTGCAACATGAAACTATTTTTACTGTGGGTCAGCTGACATTTGAGTCATCTTCAAAGAACTAAACTTTACAACATAGTTGGAAAGTATGTGCTGCGTAACTGCCTTTGGCACAATAGGACTATGCTGTTATTGTCAGATGGCGTTTTTAAGCTCATTTGGAAGGTAAAGCCAAACTAGATATAATAAAATAGTTCTCCCTCATTTGTAAGAAAGAGCTTCTGAAATTACTAAGTGAATAATTATGCTTAATGTTAAGTTTTATGAAGGGCTTAACATATTCCCTACATATGTGTATGTTACTGAGGTTAATAAGGAAAATTGGCATGACAGGAATTATTAAGAAGAAGAAGGGGAGTTTGGGTAGTGAGGCAGTCCCTAGTGCCCCCTACTTTGGCAGGTGAGCCAACACGAGAGTCAAGCATGACACCAGCCACTTCTCAGAGGACAATTGAGAGTAATGGGTGCTAACAACATGCATGAATAAAACTGACACTTCAATCACAGATGCAACAACCTGCCAACCTCATTCTGTGTGCATGGTGTATGCTGGCCAAGCCACCCTTTTATTCTTCTGCTGGCTACCTGGATGAAGCCTATTTTATACCAGCTTCTCCTGAAATGCCATCAAGTGAAGGGCAACTTGATGCAGGGCAGAGATGCACTATCTGACTTTGCTCATGCTCCAATTTGGCTGTGTATGACATAGACAGCTCCCCAAAAGCATCAGTTAGCATTAAACCAAGCTAACAGCTGCAGTGCATTAACACACCCTCAGGGGTGAGGTTCTGAACTGATGTTGTCTCACCTCTGCCTGATATACATATATCCCCTAGCACTTTCATGGCACATTCACCACCCAATCCACCACAAGCTGGTAATTCACTGCTGTATTTCCATAGTGGATTTTGTCTTCCTGGAGTCACAGGCATGCCAAGATGTATAGTCTGTAACCAAAGATATTCTGACATCTTCAAAATGTTCCTGAAACATTAAATATAAGGCGGAATTGCTTTTTTAGGATCAGCCCCAGGCTTTTTTTTTTTTTTTTTTGCCTGCTGTCCATGGAAATACTATTCACTCAGGAAAATTTTAATGATATTTTATGAGAACACGAAGGTAGAAAGAACCATCAATTTCTAAGGTATCAGGCTACCCTGTAGGAAAAAATACATAACCTTCATCATTGAATTAATGCGTGATGCATGGAATTATGAAATACAAAGTGTAAGGTCATGCACTCAGCCCTATTTAAGAATTTATGTTATGATCAAGTAGCTTACCAACAGAAAATGTTTGAGAGGATAATAAAAGTATATGTATCACTCACTGTGGACATCTACATCTGCGATAATTGCATAGAGAAGACTTTGCAGTCAGATCTGGTTAATGGAATCCATGAAGTCATAAAATATCTTACCAAAAAAAAGTCATCTAAAATGTATCAGATTAAATATCCCCTAAAAGTACCCATTTCTGTCCCTGAAATCTTGGGAGGCAAATTTAGCTGTATATACCCCTCTGTACATATCCCTTTGGCTGACTGAACCAGTATGATGTACCAGCGTACAGATGCATTGCACCCATGAAAAAAAAAAAAGATATTCCAATAAATATTAGGAAAGGTAATTACAGAAAGTATGAATGCTGTTGCATAGAGATCTGCAATACTAGATATGCAGTATACCTCATTAATGACTGATGCTCAAGAAAGACTAAGTGCTACTGGGAAAAGCACAGTATTGGAATATATCAGAATATGAAGATGATGAGGGGAACATAGAGCTAGGCATGGAAGGAGAATAATTGTGACAGGAGAATAGTAAGTGACAGGATATTGCTCATCCCAGAACAAAGGAATATAAATCACTGTGGGTACCTTTAGGCTGGGTTTGGAAAGGAGACTTCTGACAGCACAGTGAGATTGTTCAGGAGGACTTTCCAGCAAGACTGACTAGCCCCAAATCAGTAGTGTGTGAGATAGAACTTGGTAAGTTTGTGAAGGAAACAACCCATATTAGCAGGCGGCTTGATTTGGCTACCCAAGAGCACCTTCCAGTCACATTCTTGGAAAAACAGATGTTTGTCCCACCCTACATGTCCTTCCTAAAAGTCAGTGTAACACGGTTCCTTGAAGAGAGGTTCTGGGAAAATGCTGATAAACCTCCATCAAGTCAAAATCTGTGGATTCTTAAGCTGGTCAGATGCCAAGAAAATGTCATTAAGTCTCATTTACCACCATTTCTATCTTTAAAAGCCAAAGTCTGTTGATAAAATGACATATTACCACAGCTGTTCTGACAGAGACATGTGTCTGAGTAAGGCAAGAAAGAAATCAAATTACGGGGATTGATAACTTCTTAGTATTTTCACCTCAACACGTTCTTCCACAAGAGTCTATCTCCCTACCAGTAGAGGGTTTCCATGAGCGCCACCAGTGCAACATGGATGAAAATAAATGTCCTAGGAGGATAAGGGTTAGGGGAATGAAGAGCCATTTATCATAGATCCTGGCGTTAATAATGCCCAAGGAGGAGATTGGTGTTGGGAGAATTGTTCAAGTAGGAAAGAGAAGTGGCTACAGGTATATATGAAACTTAGTCTATAAGAAGAAATTCACAGCAATTTCCTGCCCTGAATCACTTTCCTAAGTGGCAGACACTAAGTAACATAAAGAGTCGTTGGGTCTCATGCAGCTTTCTAATACTCACTAGCTATGTCTGTAACCCTGTAGTTAGGCAAAATCACTTTCTATGTGTGCCTGCAAATTTGTGTCTATCCAGATCAATTGTTTTATTACTTTTCTATTTGTTTTAACATTAAGAACAAAGGAAAGGCCTGTGATAAATGTTTCATTCTGATGAACTTTGTTTGCTTTTTTTAACACTTGTTTGCTAATGTTGCCTTTAGTTTGATGTTTGCAGTCAAGAAAACAGAACAAAAAGCTCACAAAAGTAGCTGTGATGTATAAACTTGTAAGATGGGGCTGCCATTTGGATTGTCTGGTCTTCAGCACTGGGGCTTTGTTTCTACATGAAAGCATTTCCTAGAATTAATTACTGAGTGTTACTACATGAGCACCATGTTCTCCAATCTAGGAACATGAGAGGGGGTGTATGTGGCCACCTGTGTAGGAGAACCGGTAACCCACCCTGTCAAAATCCATCAGCTGGGCACGTGTATGGGGGTTTCAAAAGCAAGGGACTATCCCAGCTGAAAATTTGTGGTGAGTGCAGGGTTTGAAGAAGTTTAAGAATATGGAGGAAGATGATCTTACACATTTGTCCTCGGTGCCAGAAAATGTTCCTGGGCACATTCAATTTACTAGGATAGAACCAGCTGTGAAGTCCTATCCCACCCAATACTGATACATCTCTATCACTGCAAATTTCCCAGCAGATCACAAGCAGGCTTGAAAGAAGCTTATGGTAATGTGTCAGATTTTCTTTTTGTTTAAGTGAAATAGATATAGGGAACTATCACTGTCCCTTGTGGTAAAATCATAAGCAAAATAGCTAGACATCTAACAGGCCTAGGT